AAACTACGGTAAGATCCACAGTGGTTTCTTGATTGTGCTTGTTGAGTGGGCCGGGTTTTTGGTAAGCAGCACTGACGATGAGTGATGAACCCAGCGTCGGGCTAAAGGGCTTAATTGCAAGTTCCTCAGATATGTTGGCTCATTTTGACAGCAGGACGNNNNGCCAAGGAGTGTGTAACAACTCACCTGCCATATGCACCAGCCCCGAAAATAGATGGCGCTCAAGCGGGCTATTCTAATTATTATTCCTATTCCCATCAGTATTGTTGCTCTTCGTGGCATTGTTATTATTGCTGGTGCTGCTGCTGTTGTTTGTGCTGCTAAAATGCTAAAACATTCAAGCACAGGGCTCCAGCCTGCGGGGCCCTCCCAGTACTTACGCCGCCTCAGCGCTGAAAGCAGTCCTGTAGGTGGGTCATACTTGCAGTCGAACTCAAGCTTGCAGAAAGTTGAAGATGTTTCAATTCGCACACCTTGCCTCTACTTAAGTTTGCAACTCAGGTGATCCGCACTTTGGAAAGCACAAAGACATGTTCGTGGGAAGTCGAAGGGTAGGCCACTGCTGCAGGAAATCAAGTGCAAGGGAAAGAACGCTCGGTGGAAACAACATCGGCTTCCAAGCCCATACATGCGCCGTCTTTGCAAACTTGATGCCATCCAGATCTGAGGAACCGATGGAACAAACTGCCGGAGCTCATGGAATCTGCAGCACAAAGGCAGTCTTTTTCTGTCTTTTGTGCGCTGCTATGCACACACCAAGAGCAGCGATGCATGTGGATTCGAGTGCTTTGAAGTGAAGTGTTAGGCATCTTTTCAAGATTTTGACTTAGTCATCACTTTCGCAGGGATGGCTTGCTGCCGCAGGGGACCCCTGCCGACAATCGGCCAGGCTGGGCCATTTCAAGCTACTATGTGGTAGCCAGTGGGGTCAGTAATAGGGTCCGAAATTGTTGGCTGGAAGAAGTTCTCTCTGCCATGATGCAGCAAGGACACGGAGGTGCTTCGCTTCGCTGGAAGCGGGCTTCTGAGTGTTTCAGTGCCAGAAACATGCAGCGCAGCAGAGTGTACATGCAAAAATCTAAGTCTCAGAGCGCCCAGTGGTTGGAGAATCTCAGGACGACCATCAACCTCACCAAAGCAATCAGAAAGGGTGGTACACTGCGCAGCATGGTGGCGATGTCCAATGCTGGCAAGGCCTTCAAACCCTTTGGAGCCTTGAGTGAGATGTGCAAAGGGCTGCAGGCGAACGGCTCAGTGGACTGAATCTAGTTGTGCACACCTTTGCCAAACGGTCGTGGTAAGCACGTTGAGTGTAAGGTTTGTAGGCAGCCTGAAGGGCTTCGGGCCATGGGTTCGTGAGCAGGCAGGCATTGGAGTTTTCGGGTTCAGCTCAGGTGAGGTGTAATGGAACTTGGGTGAGAGACCCAATGTCCCCTGCTGTGGTCTGGACGTGCAGGTTGCCGAAAAAGCAAAGGAGGCGCACTCACGATGGACGACTTGTATTTGGGGAATGATCGGGGTGTTAAACTGGTAAACTGTTAAACATGTGGAAGGGGCTCGAATTATTGCGAAGCGCAAGGAGTTTCCTGAAAAAGAGGGATCCTGTTCCATCGTACACATCCACTTCTCAACAGGGGTAGAAGTTTTCAACTGCCATAGCATGCGCAGCATTTATCATCCTGCTGTGTGGCATGATGTGTTACGAGTGTACTTGCAGCAAGCAGCATCTCCAATACGACTGAAGACTCTGAGGTTTTCCGTGCATCTTGCGCGTCATTCGGTTGTCATCACACAATGAGAGTAGGAGCCAGATTCACAAGTGCCTCACATCAGCAGCATGTACATGCACACCAGCTCTGAATGTGGCTGAGTAGGCCGAGAAAAGATCGATGGATGTGACGATGGACATGCAGGAGAGTGCATCGGTTGGCAAAGCTTGATCCGATCGAAGCCAGACTTTGTGCAGATTTCGATGAGCTCATGCAAAAGCACCAAAACAACCCCATGTTGCAGAAGCTTAAGGTTACTTTGAAGCCTCGCAAGTCAGTCGAAGCCACGGCATCCCGGAATCTCCCGTGCTTTCTGCGCTTTCTGAGGCGAGAGGTCGAACTCTGGCATGCCACGCTCGAAGACCGGGCCGGCAGGCAGGGATCTGAGCACGCTGCGGTCGCTGCGGTCACAGCGCTTCGACCGGGCCCTGGAGGTCAGAAGAAGACCAACCCGAAGTCAGGAGGGGCCAGGGATGAAGAGCTTCTGACTCTTATGATCCCCTGACATTTTAAGGACAGAATGGGCTGCAGTCCGTGGTGATGAAGTTGATGGGTCCAAAGTCAGACATGAATTCGACCCAGAGCAGCTTCGGAGCAGCGAGCAGCCTCGGAGACTCGTCTGTCCTTCTTCCGTCTTTTAAGGGGCGCAGCATGGCATGGCATGGCACAGCCTTGATGGGCCTCCTGGCATCCTGGCACTAGGTGACTTTGTGCCCTCCACGCCGGGTACGGCTGGGTCAACAGAAGAGGACGGACTCGCGGCAAAGCCGCGGTGGCCTTTCAGCAAAGGGACCAACGGCGACGTGGCGAACATTTTGCTCGCTTGACACGTTCAGGTTTCCTTCTCCGTCTGCGCGGAAGATGGCCAACATTTTGCAGAGGGTCCGAGCACGACAGGCTCTCGCATGCATGTCGAAAAGGCTGCAAGAGGTGTGCAGTGCAGAAATTGCAGGTGGATAGCCATGCATCCTCGCCTCCACGGCCGGCCGAGCTGGTCGCACAGGCCATGCCGAAGGATCAGTGGCACCATTGTGGTAAATGAGATAAGGGGATAATAAGTGCGTTCGACTTCCTGGCAGTCACCGAAGACCACGCACAGAACCTCAGAGGGATCATTGTAGCTTCGCTGCAAACTCTACGTGGGCTCAGCCCTCTGCGGCGGTTCGGCTCAATCCTGAACCCCAACGTGAAGTTTAATGCGTGTGCTTCAGGTTCACATTTGGGATTTGCGGGCTTTTCGAGTCTGTGTTGCGGCATGATCGTGAGACGTTTGTAGCCTCACACAGTGTTCTGCACAAGAAAGAGTTCGCCCGCATTCGAATCCGCGTGCGGCACATCTCCAGATCTCCAAGTTTTGTAAAGACACCCGGCCAGTCCGCCAAAGGTTTACTTAGTTGCATCAACTACGTGTGTTTGTTCGATTCCAAGCTCCACTACGGCCGTCGCGTTTCGGGGCATGGGTGTACAGCCGCCTCGGAAGGTCCCGCAGACCGCTCCAGATCTCGGTCAATCGAGCAGGCAACGTGCGGGGCAAAGAAACTATGGCCGTGCACTGAATGACTGTGACACGGAAGTAAAGGAAGAAAACTAGGAAGCACGAAGATTACGTAAGAAGGAGAGACAGAGAGTGGATCGGGGGTGCCCTGTGATTCATATTGTCGTGCGACACAGAGCGCAGACAGCCAGGCATTCCACCTCGTGTCAACGGGCCTATGGACCCCTTTCGAAGAAGAGAGCGAGAGAGAGAGAGAGGTGGGCTGCGCATTAGCGCGCGATGTAGGGGGGCTTCTGTGCCGGGGTCTATGCCCTGGAGCGAGAGGGGGGGAAGATGTTTCATTAGTGTAACTTGGTTGTTGAAGCCTCCTTACCGCTCTTGCCTAGTGTCACTCCGAACCAGCCACACCAGTGGATCCCACCGTGGCGTCGTCGATGATACGGGTGCAGACAGGGCTTCACATTGACATGCTGTTTCCAGCTTCCGGGGATAAATGCTTTTCGGCGGGGCGTTAGAGTTTGTGCACTTAGGTTATTGCATGAGAGTGAAGGCCTATTGCTTTTGCATGCTCACGAAAAACTCCGGCTGAGCACCAGAAAGTCCAAACGAAAGCTGGGGGGAAGCCGGATATTCCAGAAAGAGAGAGAGAGAGGCTCAAGTCACCTGC